GTTATGTGTAGAGGAGGAGATAGGGGATGTACTCCGCGGTTTAGGGGAAGATAGGGGATGGACCTCTAAACCGGATGTTGTTGGGAGGAGATAGGGGATGAACTCCGTAGATAGAGCTCATATGCTTGAATGGAAGGCATTTGTGAAAAATCGACTTTCAAAAAGCTTCATTGTAAGTGTTTTTTCATAACAGTTTTATGTAGAAGCTCATTTCTTTTCATAACAATTAAGATAAAGATTACAAATTCTTAAAAAATGTGGGCATTTCAAATGTTTACACTCAGGAAAAGAGTGAAAAATTCAAAGAGATGAGAGCAAAGCAGAAGGTGTTACACACGATGAGTAGAAAAGGCTATGCACGACTAGAGGAAGACATGGTAAGTTTGGCAATATAAACGACATTTATTTCGAAAGGATTTTGATTTTGTTGCTTCTAATTTTGTACTATGTTTTAATTTTTTTTTATTTTTTATTTCTTTTCCAGAAAAATCAAAGCCAAGACCCAGATTCCATATCTAGAGTGGATGTTTGGATCAAAGGACATACAAGGCAGAAGGGGAAACCTATCAATGAAGTGCTTAAGGAAGCAGTGGTATGAATTAGCTTAATATGTTATTAAAGCTTGTGATTTCATTCAATTCAATTGAAAGATTGCTAGCTGCTACTTTACAATTTCTTTACAATTGAAAGATTGCTGTCTGCTGTGCTGTTTTGTTTTGGTATGGATGTTAAACAAATTGCTAGTTTGTTTTACTTTTTTTTTTTTTTTGATATGTAGAGGTCTAGTTTGTCTTAAACATGACCTATGAAGTTGTGATTGTGATATTACTTCATTTTTTCAATTTGTTTGATAATTGCTTGTCTTATTGTGGTGAAGTAACTCAGAGGTGCGTTTTGTACCTATTTTTGTAGTTAGTAGAGTTGGTACGTCCTCTTCCTCTTTTTCTTCTTTGGATATAAGTACAAACTATGGATTTTGGGTTTTTGGATTTGATTAGAGAAGAAATATTAGTGTTGTTTTCTTGAGACTTGAACTAAGCATTACCATCAACAACATGCCGTAATTATGCTCAATAAAAGGAATGGGGGTGATGTTTCCTTTCAATTTATGAAATAATTCATAGGTGAGTTTTGCACTTGTTTTTGTAGTTAGCAGACTTGGGTTCCTTATCATAAATGTTATATATTGCAGAATAAGGTTCAAGAGCTTCGCAAGCCTTCTACAGAAGAAGGGTCAATGTCTATCAAAGATGATGCAATTGTTCAAGCATTTGGTCCAGAACGGCGTGGTAGTGTAGGAGGGCTTGGATTTGGAGCATTGCCATCGAAAGTTGATGCAGAATACCAAAATCAAAATATGAGACAACTAAATGAAAAATTGATGCTATTAGAATAAGAACTCCGGGAGATAAAAGCTGAAATGTTAAAAGGAAAAAGGCAAAATGAGGTAAAAAAAAAAATGAACAATGTCACAATATATGAGGTTAAATTTATCTTCCTATAAAATTTAATTATTTTTTAACTTTGGTACTTCCCATCTTAGATATAAGAATATTTCACAAAGTTTGTAAAAATAAAAAATTGATTAATACTTGCAGGAGCCAAGCAAAGTGGCAAATGGACACTCACATGGAGAAACTCAGGTAAACTTGCACATTTGTCATGGTTGTTCTTTTGCTTGCTTGCTTTTCTACTCAAGCTTGTCGTTTTGCATATGGATTACATTAAGATTCTAAATTTAAGTAAACAAATGCTTCTTGCCATTGTATTATGATTTTTTTAGGGTGAGGAAAACGTTAGAGGTGAACATAGGGTGCATGAAGATGGTGAATGTAGGATGCACTCACAACAAAATATTTGGGTAAATTTTGTATGGCATTATTAATTAACTCATTTTCATTTTTCTCGTGCTTCTGCTTTTGTTTGCTTACTTGCTTTTCTACTCAAGAGCTTTTGTCAAACTTTCATATACATCCCACATCGTCTACAAAATTTGGAAAAACAAATATAACTTGATATTGTATTACATTTTTTTTAGGGTGATGAAAACAATGAAGATGATGAAGATATTTGGGTAAATTTTATATGGCATTAATAATAACTTTAATTTTATCTTCAATTCATTAGCTTATCTTATGTGTTGCTTTCATGGTAGTTGCATGGCGCAAATGAAACTGGAAATGATGGATCCTTGGACAATGCCAAATGCAAATTGTTGAATTGGGATGGAACAAAGGTGGTGGTTGCGGAAGGCACAATTGCATCAACAGATTCTAAAGCATTGGTACATCACGTGCCTCTTGGCCCTGGGTGTTGGAAAGTATGGGTTAACCATGTCATAGTCAATGCACCATTGTTTCGCCCTAATCGTGAGATGTTTGTGCTTGAAGATGCTATTGGAAGCACTGTTGCTTGTCCAATCCATTTCATTAGCTTTGATTTTGAGTAGAACTAACATCTATGGATAGTTTTTGAGGACTTTGATGAATAGATTTCTATAATTTTTGAATAGTTTTGGGTAATGTTTACAATCTTATATATGCACAGTTTTGGATGATTTATAACTTTTTGGATAATTTAGAACTTAAGGATAGTCCTTTTGGATGTTTTTGAACTTGCAGTTAGGTTTTGGATGTTTGAAATGAATATATTGATAATTTTTTAATGTTTATAATTTATATATATAGTTTATTTTTTATGGTTGAAATAATATTTGTCGTGGTTGATTAATATTGTTTGTAATATTAGATTGTACAAAACAGGTTGTTAAATAGTTTTTAACGGCGTGCGAAGCATGTCATTGAAAGTGAATAACTTTCCATGACTGGTCATAATATGACGTGTCGTTGCACGTCGTAAAAGTGTTTGTACGGCATGCATTGCGCATCGTAAAAACTCTTTTTTCTTGTAGTGTTTGTTAAAATGGTAGCATTCTTTCTTAAAGACAATTTTGCCTCCATGAATTTAATTATCCTCTCTTATTTATCCCTCATCACACTATAGTGGCAGCAGTAATGATGCATTTGCACTTGCAATAAAATGGATAGTAGTGCAGAATATTGCAACTTATAATGACGAAGATAAGGACAACTGAGTGGACATAGAGGGCAATAACAGAGTTGAAGCACATAGTTTGACTTGCTCATAGATTGTTTCTACATTTGCATGTGTATGTGTGTGGAGCTGAGCCAAGATTGCCTTCATTTCATTTTTCCTAATTTCTCTGTTGGACTAAATTTATTTTCTGGATATGGTATAACAGTGAAGCTTCAAAGGTTTCATCTTTTATTAGCATAGCTATATGTTTATTTATGCCCAAATCTTTTGGTGAATAACTTTGAGAATTTATTGAAACTTTAGTTGTTGTCTATAGAACCAAATTTGGGAACATCAATATGGACCCAGCTGTGGTTTTGACTGGAACAACAAATGAACGGAGAGTCGGACACCATTTTGGTAGTGTTGAGATTGGTCGTAGCGAAAGTGCCTACATTTTTCGGGTTGCTTTACCTAGTGCTCGTCGCAATGGTTGTAAGTTTCCTGTCCTGCTTTTTTATCAATGTGCATATATTAGTAAATGTGTGTTTGAAAACGTATGGAGCATGCCTACTTCAATAAATATGCTGTATCCGTACCGGGTACTTACTGGTATATAGTACTTTGTATAGTATTTCTACATACATATTGGATATAGAATTTGACATTTTTTTACTTTTAAAATTCATCTACACAAGACGGATTACAAAAGTAAAAAAAAATTGAGATAATTTTGAAAAAGGTGACAAAAATTATTAAAAAACCACTCCAATTCACGAATAACTCATTTAGTAAATGACTAGCAGTTGATTCATGCAATGCATGTGCTATTTTTTTAAAAAAAATATTTGATGGTACGATGTGTGTTATAAAAGAATAATTTTAATTTTAATATAAAATTAAAATTAAAGTATGATTTTAATTATTGATTTTGATAATGTTGGCGTTATCGTTCTATAAAATTGTTACTTGAATACTTATAAATTAGTAACATAAAATTAAAAGCAATTCTAATTATTTAATTTTCTTTTATATTCATTTAGAAAATAAAAATATGTAGAAATAGAAATTATATAAAATTTATTAAAAAAATCAAATATAAATATGTTGTAGTTGGATTATCATATAATGATTTTATATGATATATATATATATATATATATATAAAATTATAATATTGTAAAATGAACACTTTTAATTAAATTAAAATAGTAACTATATAAAAGAAATTCAACAACAAATAGTCAAGAAAGAATCACATAACAACATCTAAACCCAAAAACAAAAAATAATGAAAATATTCAAACGATAGATACATCTCAGTGTATAAAGTGATTACTCTTCTGTAATATGATGTCAAAACATAAAAGAACTTACTGTTTAATAATTGAAAAAGTAACTCAAACAGTAAATCTAAACTATAAAGATTCCTCGAGAGTATCATTGTTATACAAGGTTTTCCTCTTGTGAGTTATGACTATATAAAATAATGTAGGAAATAAAGTATAATTTCATATATAAAATCACTATAAAATTTAAACGAAAAATCCATAATTTAGAATAATATAGAATTGGTAATGGATATAGAATAATGCACGGAAAAAAAAAAGAAAAAAAAAAAAAGACAATTTAGCATTAAAAAAAATCCTAATACTCTTGAAAGACTTAAGAAAAAAAAATGAAATGCAAAATTGATATTGGGTTTGTGGATGATCTCAATTTACCATGAAAAATATGTGAAAAATATATATTTGTCAAATAGAATCCATATATAATTTAAATTAGGTTTAGGTTTATATAGAATTCTATATATAATTAAGAAAATGTATGCTGACGTGACTTTCTTAAAAAAAAATTTAATTCCTTATAATGAGTTGTTTTAGGAAGTTGGTAAAAAGCTGGCTTTTGACTTTTTATCAAACTTTTTGGCTTTTTTGGATGTGGTTTGGGAAGTTGGTAAAAAGCTGGTTTTTTGGATTTTTTGTTTAATATTTTTTAAAACTGTCAAATCAATGCAAAATGACGAAAATACCCTTACCTTTTCCCGAAATTACGATTCTACCCTTCACTATGTGAACAGTGTTTTCAACGTTTCTGGGGCCACAAGTTTGCAAGTTTTCTCCTTTTTCATATATTATTCTACCGTTTCCAAAATTTTACCTAATACTTTTAATTATTACAAATGTATTATTCTTTTTTTATTATTATTACAAGTTTATTACTAAATGTATTATTTGTTATATATTCTACAATTCCCAAATTTAACCAAATACTTTTAATTATTACAAATTTATTATTCTCTAAGATCTCATTTGTTATTATTATTATTACAAGGGCCACACACCGCCGGGTAGCTCACCGTTATTTGCTCGCAAGTGATCGGATATCGACGGAGCTCGGAAGAAAGGAATACGGGCACGCCGGAATATTTGCTCCCCGTACACTTTTAATTATTACAAATTTATTATTGTCTAAGATCTCATTTGTTATTATTATTATTACAAGTTTATTACTAATAAATGTATAATTTTTTATATATTATACAATTTCCAAATTTTACCAACTACTTTTAATTATTACAAATTTATTATTCGCTATTTCTTTAAATTTTTATTATTTTTATTACAAGTTTATTAGTAAATGTGTTTTTGTTATATATTCTACAATTTCCAAATTTTACCAAATAATTTTCATTATTACAAATTTATTATTCTCTATTTTCCTAATTTTTTTATTATTATTATCACAAGTTTATTACTAATAAATGTATAATTTTTTTATATATTCTACAATTTCCAAATTTTACCAACTTCTTTTAATTATTACAAATTTATTATTCTCTATTTTTGGAATTTTTTTATTTATTATCACAAGTTTATTACTAACAAATGTATTATTTTTTATATACTCTACAATTTCCAAATCTGACCAAATAATTTTAATTATTACAAATTTATTATTCTCTATTTTTGGAATTTTTTTATTTATTATCACAAGTTTATTACTAACAAATGTATTAGTTTTTATATACTCTACAATTTCCAAATCTGACCAGATACTTTTAATTATTACAAATTTATTATTCTTTGTTTTTTGAATTTTTTTTTTAATTATTATTACAAGTTTATTACTAAATGTATTATTTTTTTAATACAAACAATTACCGAATTATCCAAACAAATATTGCAAAAGACCAAAATACGAGTAGCAACTTTTTTAACAATTATTATGATAGTTTTGTTAATTATTTTTATTATTATTATTGCATGGCATATTTATTTTCTTAATTTTTCCTAACGAATTACGCTCTTACATTAATTAATTTCCACATTACAATTTGGTAAATGCCCTTCAGAACCTGCAACTTAGCAACAAAACCATACATTTTTTTTGACACTGTCAATAGTTTTACACATTCATTTCGTTTGCCATCACCTCGTAATGTGGGAACGGGATTTACAACCCAAGTTCACGCCGATGTCGCACTAATTCATTCCTTATTGATTTCCTCACTTCGTTCATATATACGTCATCGTCGCCCTCTAGTTCACCATCATCATCACCACCAAGACCGTCAACGTTTGGTATGTCGTTGAATATAAAAGTCTCTGCATTCGCAACCTTGTTGAATGCTTCATTGTCGCTCGAGTTGCGGTGTATAAAATTATGTATCGCCAATGAAGCCCCAACCAATGGCACCTGCACTTTTCCAAAATCATATTGCGGCATGTTATGTATGAATCCCCATCGCGCTTTCCATACGCCGAACGTACGTTCAATTGCACTCTGTATGGAGGAGTGCACCGTGTTGAAAAGTTCGTTTGCATTTTTTGGTCGTCCGGTTGCGCGAAACACTTCTTGGTGGTACCGGCATCCCTTATATGGCGCCAAAAATCCTTTTTGGTTCTTGTACCCCGCGTCAACAAGGTAATATTTTCCTGCTTGCATATCGATAATTTCACATTAGTACGGTGGTCAATTACAAATACCAAATGCACACAACTAATACAAAAAAAAAAAAAAATGTGCATAAAACTCTTTTCTTTCTTGGGCAAGAGACAGAGTTTGGAATACATCGAGGGGGATGGGGTTGAAGCCCATTGAATATAGCAGGAGCCATGTATGAGGATACTCAACCCAGGGACCAGAGATCCTGTAACTGGGTTCAATGAGAAAAACGATCATATGGTGGCCGTGAGAAATGCACTAAATTACTTTTTTTCCATCCCTATGATGTAAGTGCATTTATCCTGTAACGTTGTTGTCATGACCCGAACCCGCCCCTATGGGTTAAGGACATAACCGGCCAGTAATCCTGGGATTACCTACGGCCTCAGACCAAAACCGACATATCTTGTCAGAGAAAAGGGGCCAAACGGAAGCAATAAATAAAAACTTTGTCCATAGAGCCGTGCTTATATGCACATAACAGACCACATTTACTTACGTTAATAACCCACAGTTCAAAAGTACAGTTTCACAGAATTCA